ATCAATTGTAAAGATATGAGCATTAAATACATAATTACATTAAATAATGTGCCACTCATTTTTATAGTATGTACATTATTTGTAAATTTCAGTTCCTAATATGACATACATTTTCCATTCATTTTGTATACTGTACACACTACAATACCACTGTATGTGTGGGTGTGTATTTACAACCACTATAAATGATACCATTAGTTTATAAATTAAATACATTGATTTATAAATATATAATGTATCTTATTGTGTCTCAGTATATAGTGAAGCTGGTGAGTGGATAGTACAGTCAGTACTGGATGGTAATGATCTCACTAGTAAGAACTATCAAAAAAAGTATCAATCGTACAGCAAGACGAGAACATGGTGGATGGATCAGCTAATAGAATATCCGACAGAGAGGGAAATGAAGCTTCAGAGATATATACAATCTTTACATGAAGACCTACAAGTGGCTCATGAGAGCAAAGTATCACTACAGGAGGCACTGGTTGAGGCCAATAAACAAGGTATATAGGATACTACACACACACACACACACTTTAACTGTACTAACTGATTACTATTATGTAGTATTGTGTGGTTATTGGTAGTGTGAGTGTGTGTATTAGTACTGGTTTACATTATGATACTAGTGGATTAGACAATGTTGAGTATGGAAATATTATTCTGTACTCAATATAGGTCAAATTGTCCATGCATTAGAAATAATGAGATTGATGTAGAGTGAGCTCTGCTTACCATATATGGTATGATTAGCAATAATCATAGTACATGTATTTATGGGCTACTGTACATGCAGTGCAAATTTGTATAAGCTAGAAATAATATTGAATATAATTATCTAATGGTTTGTATATTGGTTGAACCAGTGTTTGGTGTGTATATATTATCTGTATATTCTGTTGTGTTATTATGCATATACTGATTACTCTCTTCTTTTATATTATTATTCAGTTAAAGGTGATGATAGTAGTGACTTTATGAGCAGTGTATTAGAAGAGTTGACACAAGAACAGGAAAAGTTGATTGAAGAGAAACAGATTATTACTGGTTAGTGTATCATCAGTACATAATATTAGATGAGAGAATGTTTCTATTAATGTATAGAGGATAAAGAGAAACTGAAACTCAAAGTTACTGATTTAACTGAATTACTGGGAGAGAAGGAGGAACAATCGCAAAATGAGAAACAGATCATTACTGGTTAGTGTATCATCATCAATCAATAATAATTATTAATATTGTATTAATTTTTAGACCTTAGAGCTAAAGTGTCTGATAATGAATTGTATACAACCAAACTAATGAAGGAGAAGTCACAACTACAGGAGAGAGTCACATCCTTAGAGGAACAATCCATCAAAGAGACTAGTTCCATTGGACTACAATTTAATTATCTGATCCCTTCAATGGGTAAGAGTATTATTGTGTGACTGACTGAGTGTATACAATTGTGGTGTTACCTTTGATACTGAAGGATCATTCCTGTACGTTGCTGACTGCAATAATCACCAGATTCAGAAATTTACTCCAGAGGGAAAGTTTGTGGCTCAATTTGGTAGTAAAGGATCCGATCCTGGTCAGCTCTTTTCGCCTGGTGCTATTGCTATTGATGATAACAATTTAGTGTATGTTAC